TACCCGTTGTTTGAAAATTAGGTACCTTGAATATCTGTCTTAGTATTTCGCACACGATACAACAGCTACAACAGCTACAACAGCTACGATACAACAGTATCGGGTACAACAGCTAGTTTTTTTGTATAAAATGTAAAGAAGAAAATGGTTTACGTTAGATTTTTCGTTTTCATTGTATGTGTCATTAGTATTATTAACCTTTCTGAAGTTTTCTTGAAGAGATGGCGCACGCAATGAAAATAATAGAGATATGATGAGACATCATATTTTTACCCTTAAAATCTACAATATATCGTAGTACTAATATTGTGAAATTTTGTGAGTTTGTTCGTTTGTTTGATATCCAATCACGCATTAACTACTGGTCGGATCGGGTTGAAATTTGGTATGAAGATAGCTCACATTCCCGGTTAAAATATCTAGACATATTGTTATCCCAAAAACCATTTCGGGCTTTGCCCCAATGGCTCATTAGTTTCCCATGTTAACCTTATGAGTATTTATATTTAAAATGAATTAAAAAGTTTTGTCAGCTTTTTCAACTACACAAGTTGGTTCTACGATATTCAATAGCATTAAAGAGACCACCTCTGTATGTGGTAAGATTAGAAAACGTCAACAAACAGTTTACTTGAATAGACTAGCTCCTCCCCCACACACATCGCTGCTGTAAGCTCCGCCCCCATTTTTTGCCCCTGCTCATTAGGACCTTTGGTCAATCTGTATGTTAGAAACGACCCTTAAACCATTGGCCAATCTGTACGCGCGCTGCGCAAGACGTTTCAAAGAGTTTGGACGAGAGGGGAAAGAAACTTGAAGGCGGCTCATCAGGGATTCATGGAATTCGGGAATGAATCACAATACAATCTGGATGGTCAAAGCAGACGATTATTCATACTACAGAATAGTTGGCGGAGACGAGCTATTGTTATGTACCAGCAGCAGAGAGAGGTATATTCCCACACTATTCATCCTACTCGGCATATGACACCACAACACTACAGTGTACAACTACAGCAGAATGTGAATGATATTTGCCACCTGAGTCGGCAAGAATGCTGTGTTAGTTCACACGTGGCTATAGTCGGGTGGGATGGATGAGCCTGGATGGAATGTCGGAATTCACCGCGCCCACTAAAGAATTTCAAAGCTGTGACTGATGGCTGCTAGTTTTATGTACGAGGTTTCAATGAGTTGTTAAATTCATCCTATAAATTTCAGAACATCGGTGATGACAGATTATTGACTTTACCAAACCGTTTCGCTTATTCGTGTTTAGAGTCCTTGGAGGCTATCGGCCATATTGGATGATTTCAAACAGCTGCTGAAGAGTAATTTAACGCCCAAAAATAGTTTTTCAAACACCAAAGTGATTATAATTTAAACATTTATACTGTGGGATTATAAATGTTCTTTGTAGTTTTAAATTTTCTTCAAGGGAGTCCATGGAAGCTACCGGCTATCTTGGATTTGCCCACCATAAGAGCAATGTTAATTTCGTTAATTTCAAACAGCCGCTGAAGAGTTATTTACAGTCAAAAATATATTTTTTTTGAACACCAGATTGATTGTAATTTATTTAATATTATTAATTATTATTTATTAATTATTAATATTATCAAATTATTAATTTAAAAAATATTTTGCATACTGAGAGATTATAAATTTTCTTTGTAGTTCTTTAATTGTTTTAAGAGTTAGAACGTCTAGGCTCCATTCTCTCATATAATAGGACCTGGAACATTTACAGCAATACAATTTATTCACAGTAAACACAGTTTTTAGTATCCTGGAGTGTCATTTGAAATATTTTTACGAGACTTTACCTACAGTAAGTACATTCTGTTTATCCTAAACACAGTTTTCTCATTGAAATGTTTAAAAACTCTTCTGATTTTTACGATAACCCTGGTACATAGGGAATTGACATTTGAACGAAATTATGGACTACAATTTCGGAGTCACTACGTTTAATCCTATTTTTCTTAACGTTTTAATTGTGAATCGAAAAAAAACTAGCCAAATCGTTTTCTACTTTTTAAGTCCGATTATAAGATCTTACTGATTGGATGAAATGCTCTTAGCTCTGTCAAAAGGAGTAAGGCAAGGATTAACAAAATTCAGCCATACAAAGTTTTGTTAAAAAAAAACATACAAATGGCGGAATAGCATACTACTTAAAACTGAGCTCACCTATCTATGAAACACTAACGGACATTTACCTCTGGCGGAGAACTTTCTCTGTGTTGGAGAACTATCTCCACTAAAAGCTATAAGACAATTTGTAAACTGCATCGACGTTTGAAAATTATTTAAATAATACAACTATTTAAAAATAATTAAAGAAAAACTATTTAAAATTTATAAATAATTACAAATAAATTATTTAAATATATATATATATTGTAATTAATTAACTTTCGATTAAAACTAATTTTAGAAATATTTAAATACATTTTTAAAATATTTAAACTTATTTTAAAAATATTTAAATAAATTTAAAAATATTTAAATAAATTATAAAAATATTTAAATAAATGATTTAATTATTTGATAAATTATTTAGTGACCAGGAAACATTCGTCACTACATCAACTACCGCGTCGTTGCCTATCGGACCCACTTCCTACGTTAACTCAAATTTCATTACCCGGGCTACGGGAAATAACTTAAACAAATCAAAATTCGTGAAAGGATGTGGTCGGGGCTCGGCAAGGGGTTTGTGGGCTTGTTTTTCTAACCACCGGAAGGGAAACTGTGTGAACCTATCCGACATTAAATCCTCACTTTTTTGTAGTGTCGAGCAGGCGCCTCCTCCAGACATCAACTAGAGGTTTTTCATTCATATGTCAGACGACCGTCTGTCGAGCGATAATGTACAAACTTCAATGTACTAATCCTAGGTACAAACTGCGCCTCACACTCAAAACCCTTCATTTTCACCCGCTATATTCGATGTGTAGGTACAGAACTGTAATTTGTAATAGGTAGGTAGGTCCACTAAATACTAAATTATAAAAAAAAGTCATAGGTTGGTCAAAAATACTTTTTTCCAATACATTTTTACACGTTTTCCTGCTTATTGATATACGTATATTTAGCCGTTTTCCCATTTTTTATCTTTGATGTATTATATGGTATTCACATGCAATATATCAAATTTAGTATGTGCCACGATATTAGTTCTCAACCTGTTTTTAACCAGCAACTTTTAGTAGTCCTAATTAACGTCAAAAATAATTACATCCCAGCAAAGTATTTATTTTTGCAAATAGTACTTTGTACTTCGAGCAAAACGTGGTACTCGTTGAGTAAACAATATATTGAATATTCATATATAAAAATGCTTTATATGATTGGTGTTAGAATTATTTGTTTGTTGTATTTATTGTCAAATTTGCAAAACTTCCCTGTAAATCAAATATTGAATCTGCATCTGTATACATAAATAAATAGATTTAAAAAAGGAGGGTTGTACATGCTGTGGCTAAAACCCAGAATTTCATTATTGGCACAAAACCCTAAGAAAGTGCTAAATCAACATTTAAGTTTTGATTAATTACTAATGTTGTTAACATTCACTCGAATTCTAAAAGTCGTGGCGTGGTACTGTAACGGTTAAAGGCAAAATATAGCAATTTGTTCATAAAGAATCGATAAATATTTATAATTATGAATAGGATCCGCCTCCACACAAGTGACCGGTCGTTAGTTGGATAGTTATCGCTAAATTAATTGTCCAATTAGCGACTAATTGGACGGAGGTCTGCAAGTCCATTATAAATGCAGAGACACACCGACCCACTCTTTTTCTGATTACGGTATATCGGTTAGACTATAGTATACAACCATTTATTCGCTGATTAATTTTATAAATTCATGTGGGCCTGGTTTGGCAGGAAACTTCGATACATTTTGTTACCAGACGTTTTGGGCATTGAAATATTAATATCCAGTTGATAGTTTTAATTGAAAAAATATAACCAATTCAGCATGTAAGTATGTGTTGTATTTTAGCCATAGTATTTTAATCACTATTTGGAATAAGGGTACATATATTATAATATTTAAGGACAAGGGGAATCTTGAATTGTATCAAAAGTAATTGTTTCTAAATTATTGCTTAGTTAATTGATCGTGTTTATAGATGAACATAAAATACACCAAGACTGCAGGCAATAAGCTTATATTTATAAATCGGTTGAGGAAATTAACTCACAAAATCAGAACCTAACTTTAGCCGGGCTCCATTCTTCGATTCGGTCGCTGGCGTTGAAGTCTCTACTGCTCTAGCTAGAGTTCTAGTCATAGATAAAACTTGGCGTTGCTATGCAGTTGAACGAAGAATTTGTATAGACCTAGTAATTTTTTTTACCACACGGACATGAACAAGGGAAATTTGTTAATAATATTTGTTTACGAAGTTTTATAGATGTATTTAGAGCTGAACTTTATTGGTCCGTCTTCATTAATTTTGTCTAGCACGAGTGGTTAAATACTAGTGTTATAGTGCTAGCCTTCAAATGCGAAGGTTGTTAGTTCAATCCTAGATCTGGACGAACATTCCATTAGCCAATGGGCTATCAACCAATGATGCTTTTTGACAAAAGGTAGACGTCAGGTAAAATGATCAGGGATTGAGCGGTTCCCTTACGATAACGTTAAGAATATTTAATGGCGAAGACAAGCACAAATGGAATAAATAAACAAATCACTGTGGTTCGAATGTTTAAGTCGTAAATATACGAATATATTTTAAATTAGGATACACAATCAAGAATTGTTATACGTTGCTAACCTAATCGTCGGCAGTTGTTTGTTTGATCTTATTATATTTACTATTGCAAAACACTGATTAAACTAAGGATAAAAACTACCATCACCGATCACCGGAGTCTAGAGACTCTCTTAGTCGCAGTCACGCAAGACCGGCCTCCAGGAATGTTCGGTCCAGACTCTAGAGACAAAGATACTTTGAACATTAGTACTTGGGTACTCACATAACTGTAACAGATGTAGGACTAGCAACAATGTCGCTAGCATCGTGGACTTGAATCACAGCAGCAGTGTCCACACACCGGCCTAGCAATATACACGCACTGAGCACAAGCACTGACTGACTGTAGTGTAGTGGTAGTGCCGACTCTGCCGACACGGGACACGGGCCGACTGAATGGAACGGACCGCATGAATGGAGGGAGTGGTGGTGGGGGCTGCCGCACCGGGGGATCCGGAATCTACTTCTACTACACGCTTCCCGGAATAATCGGGATAGATAAGCTTAAAATTCCTCGGCCGACACAACAAAACCATTTGGGATGATGAAGGGTGTGCTGCAGCCGACCTGCTAGACCACCCGCGACTTTCGATTCTCAACTATCAGCTGTTCTGTTAGGGAGTTCTGAACTATCAGCTGTTAGAGTTCGTTTTCATCTGTTTCTGCAAGTAAAACTTGAATTTTACCTAATCTAGGTTTGACATTTTTCAAGATTTAAAATCATTTATCAGCATCAATATAAGTGAACAGAAGAACCTGTCATACCCGGCCATACTGAACCGAGTCCCTGGACGGATAAACCGACATCTTATTAAAAACGACCATTTAAACAATACCTGATAATATCATAATTTATATTTAATATAATGTACCGTAGTCAAAGTAGGGAGTGTTAAGGTCCATTTTAAAGTTATTTTTTTACAAAACAACATGTTTGTAAAACCAATCGGAAAAGTGGTTAAGTAACTAACATAATAATATAAATTAAGATAGGTAACTCAAATTATGAAGGAGGTAAAAACTGCTCACAATTAATTGGTTATGGCAATTATTAGGCCGAAATATACCGTAATTGTCTTCTGAAAAATCAATGCCTTTGAATAGTACACGCATAAAATAAATAAAACATCGATTCTATGGTACAAGTATACTAGGTACTCATACTATTTCAAGACTGTTTTTATGCGTTTCTTGTTGGTGACAATAAGTACTTGTGTTGACGAAGTGTGTTTCACCATTGACTATATATACGTTTCACCTATTATGGGGTCGATTAATTTGTAGTTTACAAATCTCTGGCGAGGTTTCCAAGAAGTGGCCAGATAAATGAAGGCTCCGTAAAACGAGCAGGATATGAGGGACTTTACAGTAGGCATTTCAATAGGTTTTTAACCAAATATAAAACATAAGAATATTAGATCTTGGAGATACTAGAAACTTTTTGAAACAGGGGTCATCATTATAGCTGGAACCCTAGTTTGCCAAGCGAATTTTATGTTATTGGATACAGTTGAACTGTAAGTAGTTTTTGATCAAGATAAAGGCGCATAATAGCTACAATTCGCATGTGGCGTAAAGTATACAAGCTCATCTCAGTCCGCCTTGCGCACAAGGAGTAAAACACGTCCTACACAGTATTGCCTAGGGTAGAGCAATAATAGCTGGGGTAAATTCCATTAGTCGCAAGTGGAAATGTAATAATCTGAATATAAACACAAATCAACAAAACAAAATGGTGAGTCGGTGGCTCAGTTGGTAGCGTCACGGACTTTGGGCCCAATGCAGAAGTGTTGTGGGTTCGGATCCTGGTCACTGCCACAAACTTTTATCAGTACAGTTCACCTTTGTACTGTACCGGCTCACCCCTTGCTTTGCTGGATACGTTCCATGCACAGATCTGTAGTCTATGTGGACGGGCAAATGCAAGGTTAAAAGAGGCCGCCAACCTCTTACAAAAAAAAAAAAAAAAAATAGTTATAATTTTATTATTCTGTAGTAGATAATATCATTGACTATATATACCTATAGGTATATATAGTATAGGTATATAATATACAGTATATACCTTTAGTTATATATAGTCAATGATAATATGTAACAAAGATACATAGTTACGTACTGCATTCATATGTATCTTGATAAAACAAAGGCGTTTGTCCAATGTTAATCGGTCGATTTAAAATTTATATTTTTAAAGATATAATACCGGATAGATAGATAAGATAGATAGATAGATAGATAGGATACATATAATACTTGATTATATAATACCGGGTGTCCGAAAAAGAACTCCCTAGTTTTAAAAATACCTCACGATAGTATTAGTGTAATTGAGTAATAATCCTTTGGTGCTGTAATAAGTTTTAGTTTCGTACATTATCAATACGTTTGGGACAGCTGTTTGACCTGGAGTGTAGTTTGGTAATAAAAAAATAATAACAAATAATGATCAATAATGACGAGTAAAAGTCGCTTGGGTATCTGCAGAGCTACAAATGGTTCGTATACCGAGGTGTACTAGTGTTAAAAAACTTTTATTTAATTATCTTTCATTTAATTTATCAATCATTGTAATTTGTATATTGTACAATAAATAAATAAATTTTAAAACAAGGGAGTTGTTTTTCATAGACCCGGTATAACACAAACTTAAATATGTATCACTCAATAAAGGATGTACTTACGATGCATTATTTAATTATGAATAAAAATGTGTAATAATTTCAATGATGTGCGAGTTAACTGTTCTACTGTTTAGGTGGTAGACGAATGTTTTTTTTCACCCATAGTTTGTCATTTATTTAAACTATTAACGTTCAGGACAAAACCTAAACGCACAATAGCAATGAATAACAATTTATTTACATCAGCTAATAATAGTAAATATCACTACTTATTGCAACCAGAGGTGCCCCCCCCCCATTTCATACTGTCCCTATCTTCAATCCCCTAACCAATCTTGGCCAATATTTCAAGGATTTTCTAACAAAAAACAGCTAACTGTAAATACGAATGTTTAGTCAAAATAAATGATGAAATATCCAGGATCTGGTCCTGTCATGTAATTCGTTAAAGGCCAAATTAAAGCTAGTTTAGTTTCACTTACCCTACTGTTTGTACTGTTTATTAAATTTTATAAAATGTATTGTTTGTGACATGAGTTGTCTTGAAAACCAGTTTTTACTGAATACCACTTTGAATAAAGGTATTACTGTATTTATTTATAATAATAACATTTTAATAAATAGACAACTTTTCACCATCCCTAAAGCAGCAAAAGCTTACTCATGAAACCTAATGTTATTTAAATAGAGAATAAAACTGATAAAAGAAACATTTTAGCACAAATCTAATCAAGCCAATGGAAATTTGTTTGCAGCACAATAAAATTGACTACAACTTTAACTAATAAAATATCCCATGAAAATTGTCAGATTTATTTCCTAAAAATAACAACAATTTTAATGACTACCTAGGTTTGCTGCTACAGGGAAGGTATTGAGGTATGTTTTTATTGAAATGTTGATAGCTTAGAATGAAATAAACAAAATTGACAAATTTTATTAAAATATATCCATAAACAAGCAAACTACAACAGTTTATTTATTGTCCATAAGTATATAACATGGGAATTTTAAATTTAAAGTTTTTTTTAAGTATCTCCGTAACTGTTTGGCATACAACAATGCTTCAATATACGAAATTTTTCTTTTTTAAAGTTCTACAAAATGGTCTGGAAAGAAACTGTAAAATTTTGTTTTTAGAGTCAAAAATGGGAAAAATGAACTGGTCCCCCATTCAACTGGGAACCCCCGTTCCCATAGTCCGATTACGTTGGTTGCGATTTCGTTCGAATAAACGAAGGTTTACACGTTTCTAACAAATTTCATCAAAATCGGATAATTTTTGCTTGAGTTATCGCGCTAACTGACACACACACACACACACATACCTATATATACCTATATAATATCAGAGTACCCGTCCTTCGTACGGGGTTGGCATACAAGTATAAAATGCTCATTGCCGTTATACTCAAGCTTTGAGTTTGCAATGAGGGAGGACACAGTATGATAAAATTTGCTTCTTTAAATTTACAGTATTCTATAGTATTACACATGTACCATAGCAATAATGTTCTACCACTTCACCTAAACAATAGAGAAAAATAAATTATCAAAAATTCGCAAAACATCACAAATTATTCATTAAATTAAAAACATAAACATAACTGTAAACAATCCTACTTTGACAGTTAGTTCTGATTGCGTATCTCAGTTTTTTGTTGCTGCTTAGTTCAAATTAGCAGTTTTCATAAATGCAAAAAAATATAGTGCTGCACCCTGTTGGTAAATCTTATAACTTTTTAATGCTTTTGCATATCATAGAACCAACTTTTTAGTTGAAACAGCTGACTAAATTCTTTAATTCCCTTTACTACAGAGCCATTGGGGCAGAGCCCGAAAGGATTTTTGAGATAAAAATATGCCTATATGTTAATCGGGAATGTGAGCAATAATCATGCCAAATTTCAGCCCAATCCGTCCAGTAGTTAACGTGTGATTAAACTTCAAACAAACACACAAACTTTTAAATTTATAATATTAGTAAGATGAATTTGAATGGAGGGTGTTTTTGGCCTCTGAGGACCTCAAAAAAAAGTAAATAGTTCCCAGGTCCAGGTGTCCATGAGTACCTACTACGGTAATAACTTATTCCCTACATGGGAAATTCGCAAAAACCATTGTGAACTACACTACTTTCCAAAGTAAATTTAAGTCCAGCAAGGTCATTTGGAAAAGACTTCTAGCTAAGAACTCACACTCTAAGATAGAAGTCTTACACATTTTGCTCTTAAGAATTAATTTACAGAAGGCTGTGTTGCGTCTAAATGATAGTTCGGACATCCAATTGGTATTGTGTTATTAAATTCTAGTTTAACTATGAGAAAATGTTAACAGTTTACGAAGATGGATTTTAAATAGGCTACTTTTATTTATAATCGTAACCTGATTGAGGTAGGTACACCACTCTTTATGGTGTCGATATACAATCGTGTTTTAAATATTTAAAATTAGTTTTATTCCTCATAACTGTTTTAAAAAACATATTATTTTTTATATTATATTTTTATATGTTTTTCTTGAATTTAAAATTTTTCTTCAGTTATTCTTTGAAAGGTATTAGTAATATTCCTTTTGCCTTAGAAACTAGTTTTGGAACACTAATAAAATGTGCAAATTGTGCTCTGTTGTTATTACCTAATTGCATTTTTAATGAAATTACTACAAAACCAGTTACAACTATAAGGTAGATAAAAGGAAGAAAATCAATTATGTAAAAGAAGTAGAACTATTTATTTTGAACAATCATCGAGGAATAATTAAAATTATGAAGAAGAAACCATTAGGAAAACGGAAGATATGCGCAACAAAACTTAACTAGAAATTTAATAAGCAGGCAATGGTACATGACAATCTGAGAATTAAATATAACCTAACAAGACAGACAAAATAGATTAAACACAGGACATCAACAAATTGTGAAATATAATGGTGGCAACAAATTTTAAAATCTAATGGTCCTTCTTCAATATAACATTTCAAAAATTTAACATTGTCGAGTTACATTCAAAAAACCCATCAGTACTAGAAATAAATATTATAATAAATAACCATGAGTACACCAGTGGAAATTATTTATAAATCATGCATTTTCCCTCTTGCTTTGTTTAACATTTATAAACAAACCACTACAACTTTTACATTTTCACTTTACTATTTTTTTAAAGAAATGGTCAATAAATATAATGGACATGATGATTGTTTAGATGGATGGTGAAGAGAATTCAGGTAGTTTTAACACTCTAAAATAACATTTTAAATATTTTTTTTACATAGAAAAAACAAACACAGTAAAATTGACTAGGGCTAAATTCATACAAAGTTAATGAGAGTGTTGTTTGCAAAGGAAACACTGGTTTATTGCTCTTTTAAGGCTTGGAATACTGACTTTACTGGAAAGAGGCACGCTTGACTATTGATGGACATTAACAATTTAACTGTCTAACTAGGTCGTCCACTAACATATGGCAAATTAAGTGGTGTATTGCACTAATGGAGCGAACTATATCACGAGGAGCAACCAGTCAGCATTTAGCTACGGTGACCGAGGTAATATCTAACACGGATACACACTCATTACAACAAGAATACGTGCCAACAACAAGGGACAATGAGACTTCAAACCCCATTTTTATCTAGACAGATTACATAACTGTAACAAATAAAACTAGTCTAGTAAGTACGAACAATAAATCAAATGGCAAACAAGGATCCTAAATCCAAAAAAGGAAGAATCCTTTAGATAGCATCAAAATATCACACTTGCGCTTTCACACTGAACAGGAAAACCACAAAAGACAGGAAGGACAAACCGAGCAGCGTTTAACGTAGTTCAATAGAAATTAAAAATAAATAATAAGCAGATCTTAATTTTTATCTCACGTATGTTAACACTTGTAACATGAAACAAATCTTGTAGAAACAAAGCATATACGGGACAATTAAAGCAAATTATTTTAAAATGAATATAAACAGTTTTAAATTTATTATACATTTTAAAATAATACTTTAAATTAAAGATAATTCCAATAAGTTTGGTTTAAAGAGAAACATCAAGTGGTACTGTTTTCATTCAATCAATTGTGCATTCCCTCAACTTGCCCTGAGACAACATTGATCACAAGAGTAAGCTAGAGGATAAAACCTTTTATGTCATTCATCTGTAGTTTGAAAGTTTAATGTATCATATTATAAAGCATAAATATTTTAATGTAATAGGGTATTATTTTTTGAACACTTTATAGTTTATATTTAACAGGTTTAGTGTTTAATCTTATAAATGTCAAAACAAATCACAGAGCTTTTTTTAACTACAAATCAGGTTTTAGATTTTAATGTTATGTTTAAAAATCTGAATAAGCTATGAAAAAAATAAGTTCTGTATTCAACGTATCTGCAATATTGGGACTACTTTTTTTATCAAGGCAGATAAGTTCAGTAACTAACAATTTAGCTATTTGAGGGCTCGGTTCATCTATTTTAACTTTATAGTTTAAGTTTACATGCTACATACATGGATAGATAATAATAATATTAAATACTGTTCAGCAAAGAACTTCCATTGACTCATCATGGAGAAAATACAACAAAGTATTTTTATTTTTACTACGGTAATATTTACAATTTTTGAAAAGTTTTCTTCCAATACTCGGGTCAAATAATATTTACCAAAGTATTCACCTGTCCTAGGAGGTAAGAGTAAGGATAACTACACGAAGATTATCAAATCTAAAGGAGTTTAGGCTATTCTGAGAAACAGCATTGGATTGAAAGGTATAACACCTGCACTTCAATTTAAATAAATAAAAAAATAAAAACATTTACATTCAGGACAAAAAAATCCTACCACAGAAAAAGACAATTAAACACTTTCTTGCTAATATACTTAGTATATTAAAAATGTATTTCTGAACCAGCAACTTTAAAAGTAATCACAACAAATTCTTAAAACTATTTGTTTAACTTTCAAAATAACCAGCAACAGAGCTCTTCTGCTGTGGCCGCATAAGTTAAGATACAAAAATATAATCTATGTTTAAAAGAAAGAAAGACTGGTGTTTATTTCACTCAGATCGCAATTCTGTCATACTACAGTTATGTACTATTTAAAATCACATTTACATTTTATGTGTACATATTAACAGGAATACTCATAAAATCGAACATAACTCGGTAAATATTATAAACTATACACATTATAAAAAAACAAAAAAAAAACTGAATGGTAAGTGTGTAGTACAAGTAAAAAAAAGAACTTTACAGAAAAATATTTATATATATACACAAGCACCTACTTGAAAGGTACTACCAAACTACTTTCGCCCGGATTTCAAAATACCAGAAGTCGAGGGGGGTCCTGAAGTTTTACTGTCCGTTGCATCTTCATCTTTACTCTGTTTTTGAGTCTGATTTTCTCTCATCTTCCATTTCTTTCCTGAACAGATTCCCTTAATAGTGGATCCTTTACTTCTCGGTTTCTGTGGCAAGGGGGGTGGCTCTCGGAGAACTGGGCTGGGTTCTAATTTCAGAGCGGGAGGCTGAATCTGAGATGATTCAGGTTTCAAAACACATGTTGTAAATACACATTCTTTTGGAAGTAGCGTCGGGTCTGATTTCAAATTTGCAAGTTCCTCTTTCAATGCAGTCGGAGAATCTTTTTCTTCAGCGATACGGGGCAAAGGCTGATTGTTGCCTATCATGAACTCTTCTTCTATTTTGTTACTACTCCGATCATTGTCAGCCATAGCTTTGACAGAAGGCTTGGATTTGACTTGCTCTTTTTCTTCCTCAACAACAATGGGCTTCAAGACTGGAGGTGACTTGGACGTGATAGTCACCCTGGGAGCTGATGTAATTGTAACCTTGAGGGCTGGGTCACAGAGCGGGGAGATGGAGGCGGGTCCAGGCTTCTCAGCTGTGCGAGGGTGAAGTCTATCAGGGGACAACGCTCGTCTCAGCAACGGCGACCCCGGCTCAGCACTCTTAGCTCGTCCAAAACCCTTTTTAGGACCTGATGAGGGTGTGGCAACAGAGGTTCCTGGACTGTAGCTCTGAGTGGTGTTAGAGCTGCCGGGTTGGTGGCCAGGGGGGAAGGCTAAGGGAGAAGGTGATCGGGTGGGGGATGAGGGTAGTGGGGAGGGGGATGGTGTCCTTGCTAGAGGAGAAAGAGGAATATGTCCGACAGACTTACGACGGCCAGGAGAATGAACTGACTTGGCCGCGGTGTGTAGTTTGTGTTTCAGTCCGTGTAGAGTCGAGGGACGTTGGTAGGGGGTAGTGGGAGGACCGGGACTGCAACTAGAGGGAGAGCTAGCAGAGCTAGATGACAAATCTGACTGGCGGGGGGTCTCCACAGTAGGTGGGGTCTCAGGGGTTGATTGAGAGAGTGTTCTACTAAACGACTGGAAACTACGGCTAGGAGTTACTAATGGAGGGGACGACACACCTGCAGCCATCTGAAAAAAAATCACCATAAAACATTCACAGGACTGAGGAGCTGAAAACATAAAACAATTTGGTGAAGTCTAGAATTTGAATTTGTTTGGACTTGCTGCACAAAAATAGAACTTATTTACCTTGCTACAAAATATAGTGAATGCAATTAGGAGGAAGTGGAGGAATCAATACTTGAAAACTGCCAGCCATGCAAGAGGTGTGAAAACTATTTTCACGACTTGAGCAATTTCGAGCCAGAGTCATTCCACGTCAAATCACCCGGGTCATGAAACCCACCATCTCAGAATTTGATGAAACTTTGTGAAAATGTTCATTCCTATGCCCTAAGTAAAAATACAAAATATTTTGAAGATACTGCTGATACTTTTTTTTATATTCATTTTTTCCCGATACACCGTTTTGACCATTTCAGGCCTCGGAATCGACAACCAAATTTGACCGACATGGATTGTGAAAAACGGCTATAGCTTTTTTCTCCAACCAGCTAGAACAATTATTGTTTTTGCAGAATTTTCCTTAAGCTATGACCTGTTTGAAAATATAAAGATATTGGTGGTTTTCTATGTACAGATATTGTAAAAAAATAGTTTTATTAAAATATTAATTAACGCTAAAAATTGAGTAACATGTATCTTATAAAAAAAATACTTACAAGAGTTTGCAGTTATGAAAGCTTAATTTACCTAAGTCCTGTAGTTCTTTGACAATATTAAATTACATTTTTGAAGATTATTTGATATTTCCTTAACAAAGTTTAAAGCTTAAAGCTAAAAGCTTTTGAGCGGTATACTACCTTGAAATGGTTGTAACAAAATAGTTCGATGTTACTTTATTATTGGCTAATTTACAGCTTGAGTAAATTTTATGACATAAGAGATTACACACGTGACATAGTTATTAAGTCCTTCCTGACTAGTAGCCATTTGTTCAGGTTTGATTCGGCCAGCTCTAAATCTATGGTTGTAAAGCTGATTTGCCTTTAGGCCTACAGCTCAATGAAGGCTTGCTTTTCGATGTGTGCGTTTTATGGTATCACCAAGACCATCTCAGGTTGACTTACCACTGCTTGTGGCATAAAAGGAGTGCTTAGCATAAATCCCAAAATCATTTTCATGCTCAAATATATTTTAAAAGTTTTTCCTGTTTTTATATTGCCCGGCACATCTATCAGTACAATAGTGCACCTTTGTGACTGATGGTAAACTGTCTTTCAGCCATTTCATCAGGTTTCTTTGGACGACATTAACAAAAGAGACATCACGATCCAAGTCATCACTAATAAAACAGTGATTTGAAACCTTTTGTTCCCCCTCACTCACCAAATAAACACATACGGGATGAAGTGTACAACCGCCTCTTGACCAGTGATAGCTCTGAATTTTATTTTGAATTATAAAAAAGTCCATCAGTATTACTGCATCATTAGGAGAAAGGTTTTCTTTGAGATGTTTTAAAGATTTAGCTTGGGATTTTGCCATTGGTACCTTGCTCTTGCTCTTGTGAGGAATACTTCAGATGAAGATGAAGGCACTGAACTAGTATTCATGCATCCATATGGTCCTAGTAAATAATTTTACTGGCCACAAAGAGAAGATTCCTGTTTTATCCTTTTTTTATAATATAGTATGTTCAGTTGGTGCTCCACAAACAAGTTTTACAGGTTAGAACTTATTACCATAGACTAAGGAGGATAAAAATAGTAAGGAGAATAAACTTTTATTCTCCTTAGTCTATGTTACCTATTACTTTACAACCAAGGATTTAGAGCTGGCTGAATCAAACCTGAACAAATAGCATACTAGTCAGGAAGGACTACAATTTGAGTAAATTTTATGACATGAGAGATTACACACATACATAGTTATTTTGATTTGGCAGAACTTTGAAGTTATAACCAAATTTTGAAGTTTGAATTTCGATGTTTGTAACTAAAGGTTTAAAATCACTGTTTTATTAGTGATAAATTGTATCGTGATGTCTCTTTTGTTAGTGCCGTCCAAAGAAAAATGATGAAATGGCTGAAAGACAGTTTTCCATCAGTCACAAAGGTGCACTATTTTACGGATGGATGTGCCAAGCAATATAAAAACAGGAAAAACTTTAAAATAACTATGTCATGTCTGTTATCTCTCATGTCATAAAATTTACTCAAGCTGTAAATTAGCCAATAATAAAGTAACATTCAACTATTTTGTTACAACCATTTCAAGGTAGTATACCGCTCAAAAGGAAGGAAATATCAAATAATCTTCAAAAATGTAATTTAATATTGTCAATGAACTACAGGACTTAGGTAAATTAAGCTTTCATAACTGAAAAACTCTTGTAAGTATTTTTTTTTATAAGATACAAGATATGTTACTCAATTTTTAGCGTTAATTAATATTTTAATAAAACTATTTTTTTACAATATCTGTACATAGAAAACCACTAATATCTTTATATTTTCAAACAGGTCATAGCTTAAGGAAAATTCTGCAAAAACAATAATTGTTCTAGCTGGTTGGAGAAAAAAGCTATAGCCGTTTTTCACAATCCATGTCGGTCAAATTTGAAAAAATTAAATTTAAATATATAATAATTTTTTTAAATTTGTATTATACTCTAGAGTGACCTATATATAGTTTTTTTTATGTTCATAGGAGACTTGTCATAAAAATTTGAAAGTGTTATCTTAAACGGTTTGCGAATAATTAAATTTTTTGGTCGCCCAGGCTACATTTGGTTGTCGATTCCGAGGCCTGAAATGGTCAAAACGGAGTATCGGAAAAAAATTCATATAAAAAAAAGTATCAGCAGTATCTTCAAAATATTTTGTATTTTTACTTAGGGCATAGGAATGAACATTTTCACAAAGTTTCATCAAATTCTGAGATGTTGGGTTTCATAACCTAAATTTTTTGGGTGATTTGAAGTGGAATGACTCGCCAAGCTTTTGTATGGAAATGAAAGTGCTGTTATGTTATTCAATAGATAGATTTGTCATTACTCTACATTCCAAAATGAAATTTAAGGCAATTAATTATTTACATTAAATTAACTTTATGAATTATAATAAACTAACTACAAAGTTTAAGAGTCTTCAAATTTAAATTCCATCATCTCGTTACACCTTTAACAATGCACAACAAAACCACAAGTTAAAGCTGTGGGGGCTTTAAAGTATGTCAGATATGACTACCAGTATAAAAGCAGCAATGCTTTAGTAAATTTGATGTAATGTGCATTTATCACAATGTCCTCATTACTATAATCCTCCTAGCTATCTGCAATCGTGATAACAATGTAATAATAAAAGCTCCCCACAATTTTCTGACTTGCTGCTTAATCGCTCGAGCTTTTAGACTTGGCTCGGCTTGAAAATTTAGCCGTTCCCACACCTCTAATAGATAATGATTGATATAAAATTGAGTCACCTCATATTTTTTAAAATTGATATTGCTGCATATTTTTTAAAATTGATATTGCTGCATAATATGCACAATCAGTTGTACTTATATATTAACAATTAATGGTACCTATATATTATATAAGTAGGGATACAATTTTTAACACACCTGCTGCATCTCCACACTAGCCCGTTTACTGCTGATGCGACGAAAAAGTGAAGTTTTTCGTCGCTTATCCCCAATATCACGCTTCTGTCGCCGCTGCTTGGCCTGACTGCGGCGAGCCAGCTTGCTCTGGCCCGGCTCCCTGCGCCGGCCACCAGACTTTATGCTGGTGTTCTCTAGAGGTGTGGAGCGGATGGTGACGTGGTCGCCCCCAGCCAGCAGCAGTTGTAGCACCTGGGTATGGTACAGTCCTTGGACGGCCTCACTATTGATGTGTGTAATCAAGTCCCCAGGACGCAACCCAGCCTCAAATGCAGGACTTCCACATTCAACTGCCTGAAATTTTGATAACATTGGAAGCCTAGCAAAACCTAGTCCTAGTTGTGCAAAACCTGATCCATCATAAGAATGAGCAAAACTTAATTAATGTTTCGGAACAGGATTGGGATGAATCACTTATTGGAAGAAATCGGCGGAAGTGAATGAAATACTTTTAGACTGGAAGTGGTATTAGAATAGGGGTTTCTTCCTCCCTATCACTAAAACCACATTACTCTGAACTGCAAGGAAAATATGCTTTGGCGGCTTATGAGCATGTATAAGCAGTAAGCACAACAGTCCAGTTTGTTTCAACAATCATCAATTGGTATGATATACGATATCACAGTGACATTGTGACTGTCGTGGCAATATATTGACTGTTTTTGTCATTATGACAACATTGTCAACATACCTCACAACCGTAGTATTTATTTTTTTTTTGTAATCATTGAAATGTTGCTACAGTGTTCTTTTTACAACGATCAATTCTATGTCCAAAAAGATGAATCAACACTGTCTGGAAAACCGAAATATAATTCTTTGCAATTCTTCAGGTTGCGTTTTGGAGTTACTGTCACATATGGAGAAAGGATTTGTTCTTTAACAAATGTTATGTTATAATTGATTTAAGAATAAAGTTTGATTCGGTTATAACTATAACTGTTCATGGCACTAATGCTTACCATGACAAGGTGATGCATGGTGTAAAAGTCAGTGTCCCCATAATACACACGGATGGTATGGACGGTGAAGCCAAAGCCCGCAGGTCCTCGCCGGATGATGATGGGGGGCTTCAGACTGTTGACCAAGGGGGAGAGTTCTCGACAAGGGGAAGTATCCCGGGAACTGGCTGTACTTGAGCCTCCGGGAGACTGGATAGGTGGGGGCATGTCTTCCGCTGCACATCATCAAATGATCAGTATTCAATAGCTATGGTTTGGTAATGGAAAGGAAATACAGCTAAATCTTGCTTTAATTATTCTGAAAAATTAAAAAATGATTAATATGTTAAAATTGTTTACGTAACTTTTCAAACGACCCTCAATATAAAATATTAGTAGCTATCCATCGTTGGGGCAAACTACTATTTAACATAATAGAAGTTGAATTGTAGTTTGCCCTGTAGATGGATAGCTGCTCCGCATCCAAAACGTCAGCCTCTAGTTTAACTCTTTCAACGACGCGGTCATCACCCCAAGACCTAGATATTGCATAACAGGTAAATAATAGAGGCTAATTACCTTCTCTCACAGTTCTTGCATGTTAGGCCTATAACTATTAGACGTGTTGCTATAGTTAAAACACCACCAGATAACACAATTCAAAATAAAATTGACTCTTACAAGTTAAAGTTTTTTACATTGAACAGGGTTGCCTCAGAACTCCTGAAATATGCACACATTTCCTCCCAATTTTTCCAGCAGCAGAACCTGGTTTCCCTGGTCGTGATAACTAACTTTCTAGTTTTTAGTGTAACTTTTGACTTTTGGTCTGTGTGGTCCCGGATAGTTTTGGGTCGGGTTAGGCCAATAGTTAACCCAAGGGATAAGTTCGGGCCAAAAACAATCATCAGGCCAAGATCAGGTCGACTTGAGTTGAGCCGAGTATATATTTCTGCGATTGCAGTAAGCGTTTAGAATTTGTGTGATTGAATATAGATGATTGTCACGATCGCGGATGATGTTCTCGATTTCACAGTGACCACGGAAGACATTCACGATTTTGCCGTAATTGCAGACGATGTTCAAGATGTTTAAACAGTCAGATTTTTCATGCGCTAATGGAGTTTCATGAGCATTTACACAAGCAAATAAAGTATGTCACTGAGTGTTGAACACTTCTAAATTCTTCTGAAATCCTAATTGCAACAAAACAGCACTAAAAATCAGGTTTTCCCGGTAAAATTAAAAAATCACACATAATAAGGGGTTTAACCAATCTGAATACGTAACACGATCAGACATCAGACACTGACATTTTCAATTTTTTTTAATTTTAAATGTTACATGCCGGTGTTTGTTGCTGTATTGTCTTGTCTTTAATGTAACTAACAACTCACATTTGAACGAGAAAATATTTGTTGTTGTTTTGTGACACCTGATGATGCTTCAATGAGCAATACGTCTTATAATTATTAGGCATAGGAACTGTGAGACAAGGCAACTATTATCGTCCAAGTGATGGTCAAACCCAGAAATTTCTAATCTCAAAATCAAAACCAAATCTTAACCCTAGAGCTGGCACTAGTGTAACGCTGTACTGGCATAGGGATATTATTGATTATGTAATATCGTTTTTAAACCATCATACAAATCAGAAATAGCAACATAACTATGGATAATTATATATAATTTTGTTCAGAATAAGACAAAGAACAATAATATAGGTGGTTTACATGGTTACCAAAAAAACTTTTTTTTTTAGTTTTTCCGAATTGTAGGCATTATTAATTCTTTTATAAAATGTTTTTATATTCCGTCGTGTAGCTAAGTGCAGGTAAGACTTATCATCATAAGGTAAGTTGTAAAGTTGTAGTAAATTTTGTGCTGATTCCAAAAATATATAAGTTTATATAGCTTATTTTGTGTATTTTGTTTGATAGCCCTATTATTATGTTGATCGTACCCCCGCGCTAGTACGGTACCAAATACTCATCCAACCCAGGTCATGTACAAAACCGTACACCTTATACACTAATATATTACATACAATCAAAAATAGTGCATATTACCCACTAACATGTTAATTCACCTTATTTAAATACTTACTACAAATAATAACACTAATAAACGCATAAAAATAAACAAAAACACATCCAAACGTTGCCGATCGACACAGTCTACTGTTTATAGCGGCAGCGGCAGACGACGAAATCAATAACAAGCGATCGCGATCTTTTAAATAGAGTTCAAATCACTCCAAAGAGGTATACAAATTTTAAAAGTATTGTAAATAAGTACTATAACTCGTGAATTTTCATTTGATATGAGTTTTGAGGGGTTTTTAACGGATTTTCGGCCGAAAAAATGCATAAACATTGACGCCTGCATTGGCGCCATATATCCAGCGTTTGCCGGCGCTAGGGTTAAAAAATTGAATCCTGAATCTCAAAACCTAAATGTGAAACTTTCTTAGTAGCTTGATCAAGGTTACAAAAAATTCAGGTAATAATAAAATGTTTATTATGCAATGAAAACTGACAGATATTGACTCCTGACCCTAACAAAATAAAATAAATATGAGACTGATAAACTTCAAACACAAAAAAAAGTAATAATTTTGATAACAAAATCTCAAAAAATTTAACTACTGATATGAACATTAACATGAATATTAGATTAATTAGAACATTTATTTTATATTATATTATATATTATATTTATTAGTGGACAATTTTCATTTGTGTTTAATAAGCTTGATGTGATACTTTGTTGTACGTTGTTCCACTATCAGTATTTAAGATGCCTTTTGCAGTTTAGAATATAATTTACTTGTTTCATTAGCGTTGTTCAAGGTGATCTGTTTGCTCCATTGCTGCCAAATGGTGTGTAAACTGTGTTTTAAACAATAGTAATAACTAACAACGCCAAATAATTCCAGAAAGTTCAAAAACAAAACTGACAAAATCTTCAATTTTGAAACTTTTTAATCTCGAAACTCACAGATCGAATCTTAAAATCAAAACTTTTTTTTCTTCTTCTTAAGTTTTGATGGTTTTGTGATTTGAGATTCAGTTTTGACACATCACTAATAGATATAGTATAATTTAAATTTCCATAGAGTTGTTTAGCCTACGGATTACTTAAAATGATTTACATTACCTGCATAGAGTAATCCTTAGTTGCTGTAGTGGCAACTAATTAAGGTTCTTAGGTTAAACCACAATTTGGTCAACAAGGAGTCCAAAGGCGTCACTTCATTTGAAGGTAATTTATAGAGTTCAATAAAAAAAACAAACACACAAGACATGGATACATAAAACGAACATACTTTTACACAAAACACTAGATGAACAAAAGGACATTGACACAAGCGACTCGACCGAGCTATAATAAAGTTTAGACTTTACTGATAATGGTTCAACCTATGAACTGAAACTAGTTGCCACTACAGCAACCAATAATTACTATATACAGGTATTTTAAACCATTCTAAGTACAGTTTAGAGTTAATAATGGAGTTTAAATTATTGGTTCGAATGTCACGGAGGGATGTTCTAACCTGGTGGAATAATAAGAGAGAGTCCGGAGGCAGAGAAACTCTTTATGACAGCTCTGGAGCGATGCTTGGATATCGGGAAGATTGGGGAGATAGCCATCCGTAGAGCAGCAGGCAGACCCTTAGTCTTCTCTACCATGGGAGACAGATCCTTTGTGATCCCTTGGGTCGGTGGACAAACCTCCGAGTTGCTGTTGGCAGGGTAATCATATTAAAATCAAGAAATTATATAGCTTCTGTGTAGCTCGGTTAAGTAATAAATATTTAGTAAAAACAAATTTTTAAAATAGAGGGTTAATTTATAAGTGATGAGGGTAATGACTTCTGGGCTTTTAAAACTTGATGATACATTCAAGTCATGATTGACCAATGTGACATTTGAAGTGCGCAATATGTGTTTAACCCATTGGCACCGACTTACGAGCGTTACTCGTCTGGCCGCCGCAGGCCCGCAATCCGACTTACAAGCCCAAATTGTTTTTTTTAATTTTTTTTTACTTTTATACAATGTTTATGAATATCTTGCTTCTTGTTTTGCGTATTTTTAATAATTTATTTTTGGGAATAACAAAGGTTGTGTTTCCATGGAAACCAGATATGATTCAAAATCATCTGTGTTAAGGTAAAAAAATTTTTTTTTCTATGTTATTACTTATAAAGAAAAACAACTGTTGATTTTCCTACTTAGGGAATCAATTGAACGTTATGATAATAGTGTCATTTGGTGTCTGGATTAATCTTGGAATTTGTAAATGAAGTTTACTTTAAAAAAATTATTTTTGTTTCTTATAATTTTTATATTTAATTTTTTTAAATTTTACACTTTGATTATCCAATTACAATATTTTGGTAGATAATTTTATTCTGAACAAAATGGCAAAAGAATTATTTAATTATTACCTACGGTTTTTTTATATGACAATTAGAGTAAAAGTCTACAAATTCGGTAACATTAATTGCTGACCGAGGGCGCTGTAGGCAGCACATTAATTTCTTCCCCAATGGGTTAAATCCTTTCCTCATCATTCATAAAAAAAAAACAAGCATTTCAGTTTATATTTGACTAATTTCAATAGTAAAAAAATAACAGTAAATAATAGGAAAAAATTAAATAAACTAACCAAAACGCACGACCAACACACATGGAGTTAGCAAGGGGGGAGTGAGTGAGTGAACTGGACGAGTCCTCACTTGTAGCACCACTGCTGCTTGACTTGTCCACATTCCAAATTAACTGACAAGTTGTGCGTCTGGTAGTAAAAGAAAGAAAAACGGTGAGAAAACAAAAATAGTACAACGTAAAAATATATATATTAATTGAAAACAGTGAAAACTAAACAAAATTTTAAAGTCATATAAAGTAAATCTAAAGAAATGATTTTATATTCAAATCAAGAATCAAGAAACATAAACGGATTAGGGGATACCAGAAATTAGGAGTAGTCATACAAGTAGTTTTATGTGGTTTATGTGGTAGCTTCACTTTTGGTTGCCTCCTGTGCTTGAGATGTGACAAAGTAAAGCAAAGCAAGGTGAGTTTGGAACAGTCCCAAGAAACAATCAATGTATTGGTGATGGTGTACAAAGAGGACCCAAATTTAAAGTCCAACACAGTGTTTCCAAACAATAAGCTATGACCCTCTAGCAGTAGGTCAAGGGAGCAATTTGGGTGGGTCGCTGAAAGAAATCAAACACAAACAATTTTCAAAATGTTTTCTTCCCTGTAGGAAAAGTGGGTACTGAAACGGAATTGAAAATCAGGCAGTTATTTACAGCACGAACACGGTCTGGTGGTTATTAGAATACCACTGAGCACGTAGCAAGGTGATAATAATAACTTTTTGCTTCAAACTAGGAACGTCAATGACCTGGATATTCTGGTTATTGTTATTCCCTTATTATTGGAAAATTTGAATTATATTGAGGTTCTTTTGAGACGGGTATATTTTATAGCAATTGCAGAAGACATCTGCAAAGTTTCTTTGATCGACAATTTAAAATGTTACTGCAACCACAGGCCAATCTAGCCCCTTCATTTTGATAGTATGAATGATAATGACAAGGAGACAATTAGGGTAGGCACAAACACTGGGGGGTAATCATGAGGAAGACCCAGATGCCGGAGATCATGAAACGACGTGACTAATCATGTCACGGGGATCATGATGTGTGATCACGGATTATAATCACAATGATGAATGCATAATAGGGTAAGTGCACCAGTGAATGACCTTTTAACACAATCGCTGTGGCTGGGTCCCTGGGCATGGTGTGCCGTGGTGCGAGGCGGCTGCGTACCCGGGGACACAGCGCGCAATGCATTGTTTGCTCAGTCAGAGTGGCTCAGGATCTCGTCGAAGACGGTTGGTACGCGTTAGTATTGTGTCTCTAATACCAGTCTATTAATTGTGGTGTAGGTTGGTAGTAAATTTCCTCGTAAAATCCATGTCTGGCAAGCTTAGAAATCAACTTGTTTTTCTAACACGCTGCGCCACACCAGGGCTATGCCTGCCATTGATGGGCCGCAGCGAATGTGTTAATAAACAGGTGATACAAGGTCAGTTCATATGACAATGTGATGCTTTCGTTTTGCAAAGAGAACATGGACAAACAAGGTTCAAAAAATATATATACATAATGTAATTGAAAAAAGGAAATCGTTACTACAGACACACAAACCTGGCCTGATCATCTTCTGTTGAGATGGAGAAACGAGGCAGTCCCTCTCTGGAGTGCAGACGACGTTTGCGCTGCACCTGTGGCGAGACATCGTCACTCTCTGTCTGCGACGACTCTGGTGTGCTAACTTGTTCAGTACCTAACACTGTAGTCTGCTCTTCACCCGACGACTGTTCTAGAGGGAGACGATCGAATCCTGTAGGAAAACACAGCCAACTGAACAACACATCTCCTGGCATCTTACCATACGTTACGCCTAGTCATGAGGGAAAGTTTGACTATCATATTATAATGGATGGAGTGGATGACTTTATATCAAAAGTAGCATTCAATTAAAAAGTGAGGTGCGTACTAAAACGTAGTCTTTGTATACATGTTTGATTTAATAAAAATTTAACTAAAGGAAAAACTCCCATAAAGAGCGGAGATTGTATCAATTACAATATTTTGCTGTTGCACTGAGTAAAATTCTCATTTCTCATTGGATCAAAATTTATCTTCTATTCAAAATTATGTAGCCTGCCTTCAATTATATTGTGTTTTGACATACTTAAGATAGTGCAAACATTTTTTTAATCGGCACAGAGCTCACTGATTTGTGCTCCTTGCTGACTATTGGGGTGACACTCAATAAACAATATAAAAAAGTTACTTTAGAATGCTAGAAAAGTTTTTCTCAAACGGTTACACACCAGGGAAAGGCGCTGTGGAGGGTTGTTCACTCGTGTTTGAGTTGTCAGAGTCACAACGGAAGATGAACTTGCGAGCATCATCACTAGACCCACTGTTGCTGTGTGTGCTGAGTCGAGACTGAACCTTCTTGTACTGGGGAGAGCATGAAGAGAAGGTACCAAACAAAATGCTCTCCTCGGGGTCATCCGTATCCTCCCCGATGTCATGATTGTAACGATCTAAACGAGCTGTCAAAAACACACAAGATACATGTCTTTGCCTCAGCAGGATTACTTTACCAACAGGAGAGGAGAGAAGTAAAAGAAGAACAAGAGAACAAAGGAGGGCCAGGGAAAGGTTAAGAGTTAAGAAAGAAAAAAAAGGACAGAGGAATAAAGAGAGAGATAAAAGAGAGAATGGAGTATAGGGGCACAGAAGAGATTTAGGAGGTAGAGAAGAGAAAAGTATAGTAGGTACAGTAGTTAATCACACGCAACGCTAGAGTACTGGCAAATGACAAAGTGTCAAGCCTAGTACATAAAAAAGCAGTCAATTATTAACACATTTAAATGGTCTTGTGATGGTCTGATTTTTTCCTAAATCCCTACGCCCGTTTAGGCTGGATTAACAAGATTCTACTATATAAAGAACAGGTTATAGAAGGTTTACTTTACAAAGGAGGTTGACAACAGCAGGCTATCAAATCAAATCAAGTTAAGAGTGAGGATTTTTTTCAATTTAACTATATATTATTTGAGAGTAAATTACTCTTTGCATATTATATTACAAACCTATCTCTGTAATATAACAAAGAATACATTCAGTTATAGTTTGTAAAATCACATAGATAGTTATGATCCTAGTATTGTTTAATCTTCAGTAAACAATACTAGGACAGATAAGAAAAGTGGAAATATGAAGGGATTAATATTTTTTAGGATAAGAATATGGGTAGGCCTACTTTTAATCAAACTTAATTTGTGTATTATTCAAAGATTTTCTTAAAAAAACTACCGATGATCAAAAAGTAAAATTAAGGTGTGACAGCACTGACAATGAATTGTGTCATATACTGTAATACATACTGTCAAAATAGCTGGTGTCTTCTTCATTATCTAACTGTGGCACAAACTCAGCTTTCTGTCTCAAAAGTGAATTCCAGTCGACACCATTGAAGTAAGGGTGGTCCTTGACTTGATGAGGGCCACCAGTTCCTAACCTATCTCTTGCGTTCTGGTGGAGTAGGGCTGTTATTATGTCTTTGGCTTCAGGTTGAATTGGCCAATCATCTTCTGACGGCCATTCAATATCATCTAAAATAAAACACACATTTAGAAACTATTTTTGAAGCAAAATACGTTTGGAATATTTAATATACAGTACACTCCCAATTAACCGAGGTTGTTGGGACCAAGACTACCTCGGTTACCAAGAACCTCGGATAACACGGGGGTCGCATAGATTTTGAGGTTAGGGTTACGGTACCCTATTATGAAGTCAAATACTTGTAAAATATATCTTTAAGCAGAACATAGCGAATGAAAACAGATAAATATGTATTTTTGATGCAACCTTTTTTTTCAAATAACATAGTACTGTATTGTTAAAGAAAAAAATAACACAGCAAACAAGTTCAACATTACTTCAATCGTCTTGAAAAGCTTTAAACAAACTATTATTGTAATTATGATAAACCAATACACCACATTATTTAAAACAAACCCCTAATGTGGATCTTTCTATTTTAAAAAGCACAAAATTACATTTTGTTTTAGTTTGACCTGATCTATAACTTGACACAATAATGTCCACATCAAAACATTGTATAATGAAGAAGACTGACACTGATATTGTTTATGTTCTGCAGTCATCCAGTTCAGTTTGCCGTCGCCATCGGTAGCTGGCCAACCTAGTACTGTACCATACATACAGTAATTTTAGTTCTTAAGCTTATTGCAGTTCATTCTAACGTTAAAATAATATTTAATGGTTATTAAAGATAAGTACTGTATAGGTTTCAATAAATCACAAATTAATTGCTTTTTAAGTTTCTTTGAATAGAAACACACTATATAATAAAGTAATTGTTCTTTTCCTACTGAAAACGAAAATGAAAATTTTAGTGATGGTCAAAACCAGAAATTTCGAATCTCAAAACTGAAACCGAAACTTTTAAAAATCGAATCCCGAATCTCAAAACCTAAACGTGAAACTTTTTTACTTAGCTGGTTACATAGGTCAAGCTTACAAAAAATACAGGTAATAATAAAATGTTAAGTATGCATTCAAAACTGAAAGAGATTGACTCCTGACAACAACATAACACTAATATTTATCTGATAAGCTTAAACTTGAATACATATTTTTTTTTTATAAACAACCAACATTAAAATAAATGAAACCCCTAACACCAATATAAACATGAATATTAGATTAATTAGTACATTTAGTAGTCAATAATTCTTTGGGTAATGAAATATTTATATGAAACTGAATCGTACGTGGTTCAAGTTATAGTATTTAAGATGCCTTTTGAAGTTCAGAATACAGTTTACTTGTTTCATTACTGTTGATGGTGATATGTTTGCTCTATTGCTACCAGCTTGTGTGGAAACAGTGTTATTAACAATAATAGTGACACAAAAAATGTCAGCAGTTTTCAAAAATATAACTGCCAAAATCTTTAATTTTGAAACTTTTGAATCTCGAAACTTGGTGATCGAATCTTGAAACCAAAACTTATCCTAAGTTTTGATGGTTTTGAGATTTGAGATTCGGTTATACTAGAAAATATATATTTAGGCCAAAAATGACCCCGGATAACCGGGGCTCGGATAATCAAGAGTATACTGTATTACATTATGATTAATTCATAATATTATAATAGTCTATGTATTTAATATACAGATGGAAACCAATAATTAAAAAACAAAAAAGACAAATGATTACTTACCATTAACTGTGTGTGCAAACAGTTCTTCTGGGGTTTCACCGAAAAACGGAACACAACCTATCAAGAACTCGTACAAAATGACTCCCATCGACCACCAATCCACTGGCTTGCCATACCCTTGTCTGTAAAATTATCAACATGGTATACGTAATTGTACTACAGATGTAAATAAATAAATATTATAAATAACCAATTAACAATGTGTCTAACGACTTCAATAGCTTTGAGTGACTGAACAATTATGTAACACATGAAAATAATTTTCTAAGATGCAGTTAAGAAACTTTTTTTAAGAAATATTAAATGTTAATTTATTTGGTTTAACTTGGTCCATCATGAAAAAGATTAGTCAACGATTTTCATAACGTAGTGGAACAAATTGTTGTTGTTGTTGTTGTGTGTGTGTGTGTGTTGTGTGTGTGTGAATGCATATGTTATGGACTATTACGATGATATTTTGCTATAGATTATAGGTATGTTTATATTACGTTCTTTAGGGTTAAAAAAGTTTGTATTGAAAATGTATTAGTTTATTTTCAGTAGTTTTGAGGTTAACTGTAAGAAAGGACATGTGGTCCTGATGGTTGCCTACAAATTGTATTTTAATTTAATTTCAATATTCCAGTTATTGTATGGAAGAAAAAAAACATTTTTGATTAATGTTCAAACCAATACGTTTGCAAACCTGATTTATACTAGGCCTATGAAATCACAGGGAAATATTCCTACCTGAGAATAACTTCTGGGGCGATATATTCAGGCGTTCCAAAAACTTGCTTGTCTGAGAACTGGCGAGTGTCTCGGTCGACGTACACCTCGTATAAGTTTGTGGCCACTGGAAAAATAGAACTGATTGTTGAATCCAAGAAGTTATTTATAATAAAAAAAATATAATATTAAAAGGAAATATTAAAACAACAATATTAGCAGTTTATGTTTCAGCAGAACTATATTCTTCAACATTCTCTATGAAGAAGTCCTATTTTAGGACAAAATATCAATGTTATGTTTTGTGACCTTTTACAATTAACTTCTGGACTAGTGGTGGGCGTTATATAACATAATAGGATAAATAACACTATTACTGAGGATTCGCCTATTACCATAGTAACAGGTTACTGAGAATACCCTATTATTTTTGTAACATTTTCTGAACCGTTAGAGATAGTGAAATAACGCTGATCGTGTCGTCCTATTAATTAATAGTAAATGCTTGGTAATAGTTTACTGAGAATCATATTACTGTATTTTTGTAACCTCGTAAAACGAACAAGTAAAATAAGGCTGGCCATATAATCCTATTAATTAATAGCAAGCGCTTGGTAATACCATTGACTATTGGATACTGAAGTAGACGACCCATCTATATGGACCAGCTGTAGCCAATTAAAAAAAAAGAACGCAGTTGTGTGAGCCAGTCACAGAATGCGCTAGTGACAAAAACTCTATTTTCTACCTTATTTTTTGTTGCTGACCAAGTTGATGGGTCATGACAGTTGCTATAGCTCTTAATAAGTCTTTCCATTAGTTTGAATTGGAAAAAAAGATTGTGTATTCGACAGAAATCAGTAATTTAGATCAGCACGATCTGTCGATGGCTCACATCCACTACAACGATTTTGGTTAAAAAACTGGCTACAAATTTAACATGGGGAAGGAATGTCTAGTTGTATTAATAGTGAAAGGTAATACCTAGTTACTGAGAATCATATTATTTTTGTAACGTCGTCTGAACTGGTAGGTCGAACAAGTGAAATAACAATGACCGTGTAATCCTATATTATAGTAAACGCTTGGTAATAGTTTACTGAGAATCCTTTTTTTTATGTCGTAGTACAAACAAGTGAAATAACGCTGGAAGGGGAAATAATAGGCGAAAAAAATAATAGGCCTAGTGTTATTTCATATATTACCAAAAAAACTAAGGAACGTTCCTGACTATTACTGAAAAGTAACGGTATTTCCCATCTCTACTCAGGGCTCAAACTTTCACAGGTAAGCTAGCTGGGCTTTATCCATTAAAATAAATTCCTCACCATCAAATCTTCAGTAAGAGTAACCTTTTACAGGTCATATCTGAAACTTCCAAAAACTCCCAATTATAACTCATTATCTTTTATCTGCTCAGGGGCCTTATCATTGCAATGTGCAATAAGCAATTTAATTAACATAGTTTCGATACACTCGACATAGCTCAATTCTGCTTCAGATGAAAAAACTCTTGGACCATTGCCAATTCAACCTTAAACATAAATTTGTAGGTGGTAAGTCATATTGCGGTATAAGATGGAAATAATTCTATTATCTTGGAGCATTCCTACTCTCAATAAGTAGACTATTCACCTGTGGTAGCTTGCTTGTATATTCTCGCTTGGTCAGCAAGGACAGAGAAAATCACGAACCAATTTAAATTTAAATCTATTTTCAGGAGCAATTTACAAATACCCCCGCCGCAACAAACCTGCAGAGTAAGCAAATTTCTGTTTGCCTGATTTGGGTTTGAATAGAAATCAGTGAATTTTATGTTTTGAGGGTCAAATATGAGAACAACCTATTTTCCCCCCATGAAATCCCGTACCCATGGTCCGATCATGCTGGTTCACGAACCCATTCGATAAAAACGTAGGTTTACACGTTTGTATTGAATTTAATAAAAATCAGATCGTTTCTACTCAAGTTATCATGGTAACAGACACATATGATTAGATGATTATCATGATTATGACACATATAAATTTGAACGGATGGTGTTTTTGGCCTCTGGGGACAATAAAACGAAATAGTAAGTCGGTCTCAGGTCCAGATCTTACCATAAGACCTACAGTAATAGCTTATTCCCTTTATAGGAAATTTTCTGAAAAGGAAATAATAAGAGGAAGCAAAGTGAGATAGAAGTTGCATTAGCTTTCAGAATACCCAAACACACATTTATGATGAGATTTGAGCAGCAAAAGACCTCATTGTCTTTGTATTGCAAAATGTCATTTGTATTATTATGACCCATATATATAAAACTATCGACAATGTTTGGAAAAATAATTCAAAGCCATGTACTAATAATACAAATTATGTTTAAAGACATAGTTAAGCTATGAGAAAATGTGAGTCCAGGGGCTCAAACATAACAAAATTTGCATAATGGTGTTTGTGTATAGTAAGCTACTGGACTCTAAATTTTGCAGATATTTTACCTACACCCTATCCATTTCTAAAGCTAAACTCCTTTACAATATTGTTTTAAATATAGCAATTTCTCAACTTACATGACATCAGCCCCATTTTGCTGAGCCCAAAATCAGTTAGTTTAATGTGGCCCAAGGCGGTGATGAGCAAACTGTAACAATCAAGAGTCATTTGTTTATAAAAATGTTTAAAAATAAATAAAAACAAACACAAATAGGTCTTCAAGTGGTTTGATTTTCAAACAGACCTGAGAATAGGTAAAAACTGAATTGACCGAGCATCAATTACTCGATCACGATAAAACATTTCATTTAGGTCTTGCCCTTGTGGTATACAAAACAAGCTTTTCATACTTTTCAGTTTTAACAACTTTATTACAGTATATGTTAAGGTAATTTGATAGTAAGTGTTACACAATAAGCCGCTACAGTAAAGATCGTGCTTCAATTCTGCAATAATGTACAAATATAAATACTTCTAGTAATCTCATTAAAATGCTCATTATTTAAGCTTTCTTGAAAAGCTTGAGTCGAAGCTAAGTACTGAAATACTCGCTCGTAAATACTTGACCACTGGAGTACTCACTTAACCCTAAGTATACTTGGATACTTACATTGTGTGTGTACTAAACTATATGAAATGTAACATACTTATCAGGTTTGAGATCACGATGAACGATGCCGTAGCTATGAAGATACTCTACGGCCAAGACAGTTTCCGCAAAGTAGAAGCGAGCCATGTCAGGAGGAAGAGGACCGATAGTCTTCAAAAGTGCGGCACAATCTCCCCCCTCCACATACTCCATCACCAAACACAGATGTTTCTGCGACAGAAGAAATAGCTTTCAATCCACAAGATCAATGATTTTGCTGCTTTAAGAAGTCATATTTTATGCTGTCTTCAATTTATATGCTTATTATTTCATTAATGTGAGTTTTTTTATTTAAAATTGAACAATTAACTTTAAACAAAAGTTTGATGACTAGGCCTATTACTATAAGAGCGTACATCGTCTCCCATCACTACAGTCACGCAGCTTTAAAGAAATAAGAAACTATTTTAAAGATAAATTTGTCAAATAACCAATCACAAAAAACAGTTTTTAAAAAGCTCAAATATGTATCGTCTAATGTTTTTACAGTACATTGTACAAATGTTGCTGTAAATAAAAATTGAAACAGTGCTTGAACATTAAACAATGAACATAAACCATTTTTTCAATTCATCTCTCTTTTGGACCTTTACTGTACCTACCCCATTATAGGGAGTTATAATTTAACCATTTATTTACCCAAATAGTGTGTGCTGACCCTTTTTTTATGGCAATTTAGATCATTCTGATAGGGTCTTTTCCCAATCAATCCGGATTGTTGACGTTTTAGTGTACCAAAGTTCAGCTGTATGTTACAAATCTTACTTTTGTTTCAAAACTGCAGTACATGCTGACAACAAAGGGGTTGTCTGTAAAACTCATGATGTCCCTTTCTGCGAACACCTGTTCAATCTGGTTGCGTAACATTAAGTTGTTCTTGATGATTTTCTTCATAGCAAATCTCTGTCGGGATTCCTTATGTCGGACCAAGTATACGGCACCATACGCTCCATTGGAGATTAACTTTACAATATCAAAATCACTTTCCAATGGAACCTGGAAAACCAGAAAACATTATCAACCTAATAGGATGGGAAATGTGGGGATATAATGAAGTAATTGAACAGTTATAAAAATAAATGTAGCAAAAAACTGTGAAAATAGTTATTTGTGCAACTAGTGAGCAAAGTGAGCAATTGCCTCACTCGAGAGAAATCCTTAATCACGAGGCGTAGGCAAGAACACTCTTAAAATGAGACAAAGTAATTAGAGTGAGACAATGTTAACATTGTCTCACTGATGAGCGAATTGGTCACTTTGCTTTCTCAAATCAGTGAGAGAACATGTACATTTTTAGGTAACTGTAGGAAAATGTAGTTATCAGCTGTTATTGACCTTTATAGATATTTCTATGTTAATGAGTTGTAGAATGAAAAAAAAATTCAATAACTTTCCAAGAAACATTAAAAGAGATTGTTGCTAAGACCAATAATCGCAGTCTATTGCAGTTTGTATGAGTTTTTAGTAACAATAATAAAAATACTATTATAATACTAATACTACTAAACAAAAAAAGAAGTAGGCTATTACATAATGTCTCCTTCTGTGTTACCGTATAGTATTGGTGTATTATATTTATTGACTATGCTATAATTTTAGTTGCTACATGACATTGTCAATAATGTGTTAACATTTGAAAGACATTAAACGATATATTATCTATTAAATATTAACTAATTGAGTAGATTTATGAACTGTTCATATGGATTAATACTGCACAGACAACTTACCTTGGAAAATTTATTTTCCTTCTTTGGCGTTGAAGTATGCGTTGGTCGTGTGAGGTTGTCCATATCATTGCAACCCAACTGCAGATCTGAAACATATAACCTGAACAAATACCTGGACAAAAATACAGTAAAGGGAAATCTAATCAAAATAATTCTCAGAAGCAGCAGTCTTTAAGTTTGTCAAGTTTTTTACAAGCTGTGATTCATATTCTATAGGTAATAAAACCACTCAAAAAGGCTCTTACTACTTGTTATAACACTATTCAATACTTAATACTTTTCAATGAAATGACGACCATACAAAGAAGGTATTTTAAGCCAAGTATGAATGAAGGTGTGTGTAGGATGAGTGGCGCGATCTTGTAGTCTTGTTTTGTTAGTGACTAAGGCCGACATGTTCCTTAGACACAGCTGTTAATTAATAGCCCATACAGCTAATGGCTAAGGGACCTACAGTTTATAGTAGAATCCAAACCACATTTTTTCTTAGGTATTTACGAATTGGTCTAGTTTTTAGGATAGTACTATGGATAGTCGTAGTACTCACTAGTGCGGACGTTAATCCACACCAGGGAGTATCGCATCTACAGTGCATGCCTATAAATATCCACAATATTCAAACATTATGATTATAGTGATGTGATATTTACTTTGGTGACCATTACAAAATTATTAAACTTTAAAGAGAAGACTCAAGTCCACAAGCTGATGTTATCTGTCCTGTGAAGGTTAGCAATGCATGAATTGTAGCCAATCAAAAACATTCTATTTCTAATTTACACTCAAGTCACTAATTTTAATCCATCATCAAAAACCAAGAAGCCATGAAAATAACAGACTCCATATCAGCTGTTTAAAGATTAGTATTTTTGCGGGAGTAATTTCTTAATTCTTTTACACTAAACCACCTTGTATTCATATGAATACTTTACAATTAGTAATGGGCACTCAATTCAATACAACTCTTAGACAACTTTTCATCCTTTGAGATTTATAGTAAACGAGTTAATGAGTTTAATGGATTATTCAAATGTCAACTTCCCTAATTTCTAAACCAGTATAGCAGTTATTCAATTTTCTGCAAACCTACCTGAGAATTTTCCGGACATGGGATCCCGGATGAGACCCAGCTTGGAGATGATGTACTGTGGGATGTCTGCCTTGATCCCCTGACAGAACTTGGCCTGGCCCTCGGCTTGCTCCAGGAGATGATAGAACTCCTCGGGATCAAACTCCAGACACTCAAGGAGACGGGCAGGCCGAGAGATGACTAGAAGCAGCTTCTTGATCTTCCCGAGCACCTGAGAGGCCGCTTCTGTTGATTTATCCTTAGTCTGTAAAAACACAAATTTGTTAAAGACGTCTCTAGACAAATACATCTCAATTCAAATCAAATGAAATGATCTTTATTTACTTTATACATTTTATATACATGAATACAGTAGACCCCCTCTCAACCGACCTCGTATTAACCGATAATCGGATTATCCGCCTTTGATCGTAAAATAATACAGTTTGTGTTAACCGACCTTGCTTTGAGAGCAGCTCGGTTTAACCGCCGCTTTCTAGGAATCTCGGCATTTCCGTTCCCATGCTGGGCGATGAGAACTGAACCATACGCTTATCTCCACAGGATATGACTATGAATAAGTTATTTTGTGTTGATCACAAAAAATATATCACAGCCTATTGTCAGTTTGTCATCATCGTTCGTAGTTCGAGCGCATCTGATCTGTTTGTTATCTGTGTGGCAAATTTATAACATCATTAAGTGCGTTACGATTTTGAGAACTGATTATCTTATCGCTGGAGTAAACAAACAACGCAACTTGTAGGGAGGGCATTGAAGGGGGGTTAACAACTCCAAGGTCAAGATAATTTTTGTGCCTCGAGCCTCCAGTGAGAGGCTATAAATAAACGTCCTGTCTTGTAACGAAATGGTTGCTTGTATCTTTAATTTTGAAAAAAGGTTCCGTACTGTTTTACGATGGATTTGGAAAGCATCAATTAATAAATTACAGTACCTACATAAGTTATTAAAATAGGAATTTGATTGACTCTTGCCTAGTATTGTAATATATTCCACTGAAAGTAGGCCTATTTGACTTAACCGTGTTTTGTGTTTACTTGTGACCTTTCTATCAATACGAAAAAGGAGATAAGAGTAGTTTATTTTATAAATAATGCAAGTATGATTTCAAAATAATGATTATAAATTTCCAAATCAATAGCACTTCATTATGTTATGATTTTAGGGATTGTCCGCTTCATCCGACCTTTTGAATTATCCGACCTAGGTCCGGTCCCATTAGGGTCGGTTAAGAGGGGGTCTACTGTAGTGTCAAAGCATAAAAAAACTAATTATACAATTTAATCTAGAAGACTTAACTATACAATTCCACAATTATTTTAGAATTGATAGCTAATACATTGATGATTTAGAGGATCAGTTGCTGAAAGTCTAAATCTCGGAAGGTCTAATTAGACCTTCGACACACATTTAGCAGTTTGTACTTGTTGCCAAGGGTCTAAACGGGCAGTATGTCGAAGGTCTAAATCTCGGAAGGTCTAAAAGTACAGTCAATGCAGAAAACTCACCCACTGATACTGTTTTAGACCTTGCGGGATTTAGACCTCAGGTACACAAGCTATATTTTGTAAATAAATGTTTATAAAATGAGAGTTGCTGAAGGTCTAAGTCCCGGAAGGTCTAAAAGTGCAAGTGTCGGAAGGTCTAAAATGCGAGTGTCGGAAGGTCTAAAAATACGGGAATTGCGTCGCCAGAGTTGAAGGCTGGTACCGCATTGACCAGAGTTTAATTCATATTTTGAAAGTACGCATGTCGTTCTTCTAAGCCTTGCGAAGTTATGTAATTGTTTAATGCGTAGTACATAGATAGCTTGTAAACATTGTATTAGTTGCGAATAAAATTTATTGGCTAGTTATAAGTTATTATTATAATTATTTTAAATAACTGCGATCATGATGATAATAATTCCATTGCGTGAAAATTTAAATCCATTAAATGCCAACTACATATTAGATTGGATCAACTAAGAGAGGTGGACAAACTTTGAGAATGTACTTTTATTTGTTTATAGTGTGATCATGTGTTTAGACTTTTTAATTGTTAAAGATTAGTCAATAATTTGTTAACTAGTGCACCTGTTGCTCGAATTCGAGCGATTTCTAACTATTACAGGCGTTATTTTAAAACGAATAACAGTCATAATTTCTGATGACTTTAAAAGATTTGATTCAAAGATTATGGAAATATTCAAGATGTACATAACAGCTCGATATAACAAATATTTCTTGTAAATAGTGTTTTCTACAAATGGCCTTACTCATAGCCGCATTAGGTTGTCCATAATATTGATTATAAATAAAAAGAAAACATTATTTCTATATTCTATTTGGTGGTGTTCTATAACTTTCCTATGTTTCCATAGTTTGCAAATCGGCTCTTTCAATGATTACTAAGAAATGCAGCACAGTGTTAATTCAGTTTTCTTTTTAGTGTATCAAATTATCCAGGCTATCTCGCTTTTTTCCATTGTAATATTTACGCCAACCCAAATTCAAATAGTAAATATTTCATTTCAACCAAGTCAGTAAATGTTTGTAGCAAACTACTCGTTCCCACCACCACCGGTTTTTGTTTGTTTCTTTTTTTTTTAAATTTGAAAGCCTGTATGTATCCCTGGGTTTTCCTATTTCCCTAGCTACTTTTCTAAACGTCTCAATTGTTTCCTTGTCACTCATCATGTTTTATTTTCTCATCTCTGGACCTCTCTTATCCAAGACTTATCCCTGTTCTCTCCTATTTATCTCCTGAAGTGAACAATTTATAAATATGTGACTCGTGGTTTTTATTTCTCCACATCTACATACTTCCTCTTCCACCAGGTGAAATCCCCACAAATTCGCCTTGAAATTTTCCATGTTCTGTGACAAACTGTGTTTCATTATGGCCCATCTCAAAGTCTTGTTCCAGTATCTTTCTGATGTTAGGTATATATCCAAACGTTTACCTTTAAAACGTTAACATAAAACACTCTGCTCCCAACACTCATCTAATATCTCCTCTCTTCTGTTTCCGATGTAGTTCTACCTGCCTCCTTGTCTTAAAAAATCAACAGCTTATGCAGCGATTATCCAACAGTCCTAAATTGAATGTGAAATCTTCAGGCGGCTGTTGGAGAGCACACTTAAACCCAAAACGGAAGGGTGCTTGCTGTATTCGCCTATCAACGACAATAGTATTATTTGTATTTAGTTCGCGTCTACCAGTTAAAGTTCGTCGGCCTCCTCCTAATGGCCGTCCTGGTCGACACCTTATAGTCTACATTATGTCGAACGTTTTTTTGGTTTTGTTTTGATTTTGTACAAATAAAAACTGGTTTAAAACAGTGAAACATCAATCTTTTCAACTAATCTAATAAATCCTTGTAGCAAATGTCTCCAATTTTAGTATAACCAGCCGTTTCAAATATTAGTGTCAATTTCAAAGTATTCAAATGTAAACATTTTCTCCCTAAGAATAACATGGGAACTTTGAAGGCCACTGGGGCAGAGCCCTGTTGTAATTCAAAAGTTGTTTTGTTTGATGGCATAACTACATGCTAAGACCTTTCTAATGACACCTTGGACATGGTGATCGGTAGCTCCTCACCACTCCAAAACAATTATGACAAAAATATGCCTAGCGTATTAAATACTGTATATAGATGCAATAGGTGGCATTCTTATTTACAAAACAGTAAATACTTAACCATTAAATCAGGTTCATGTAGTGATAAAATGATGTCATTATAGCAAATTAAATCCTTTGTTTATTTATTAAGATGATGGTAAAAAAATCACATGTAACATTGTAGTGGGGGGTTGTATAGTGTTACTAGCTGTGTATGGGAATCTTGTAGTAAGTTGAAACCTTCTTATATTCAGAACAGGAGTTGGTTTGCATATTTGAGTGTGCATTTTTCCAGATATGCTGGCAAAACTATAACTGTATAGGAGTACATATAAACCTTCGCAAATACAATATCTGACAGGTTCAAGCAAAAACGAATGCTTCGAAATTCAATGTCACCCAATCGTGTTAGTCCATATTTTATATCTAATGATAAAAGGAATTGCTTTATAGATCTATGAGGCATAGCCCTGAGGTAGGCCTGTAATTGAAAGTTACTTTTCACACTGGTTAAAAGTAGTCAAAATACTGCCTCAACCTCACTACTCCACATTTTATTCAGGTTGAAATTTTCATTAACACAGGTGCTCTTATCTTTTCCACAAAACACTGAGAAATAAGGACATTAATGTGTTGCCAACAGACATACACATACAAATACAGAATTGAATCAGGGGATTTGCTACGCTTTAACCAAAGCAAATTACGAAGAAAATAATTTTATCTCAAAGTTTTGATAGTGTCATAAAATTTTATGATTATCGTATTTAGGCCTAATCAAACTGTAAAATTGGTGTAAATCTGTTGACAAATATATAAATAAGTAAATAAATTCACAGTCAACAAAACATTGATACGTTAACAACCTAAAGCTTAAAAAATTCATGATATGGTTTGCTAAAAAAATCTTTCATTTGATGTGGTATCAGTACCGAATTTATTAATCTCCCTTGGTTTTGTATTTTTTTAAGTTTTCGAAAATCAAAGCTATTTCCCATTAATAGCATTATTTGTAAGCATCTTTTAATGTTTTTTTTTTTTCTTGTGTCTACGCCAGCGGCATTTTTGTAATGATGTCAAACACTTTTAAGGGAAAGCGGTCCAAACACATTAAAGTTTGGTGGATGTGCCGGGGATTGAACCCGTCCCTCCCGCACCAAAGTCCGAGACGCAAACCACTAGGCTAGCAACACACCCCAAAATAACCCCAAAATGTTAACGTATTAATGACAGTTTGAAGAAACCACCTTTATCCAAACAAAGGTTTCTTATTTAAAAGATTACGTAATCTCTAAACAATGATCGGCATATCTTGCAAACATCGGAGGAAATATAACATAAAATGCACAAATCTGGGGTTTTGGAAGTTTTTAGTTTTACTTCCTAAGTAGTAAGGCTATGCATTCTAGGGAAAAGTACCGATATGGTTGTAGAAATGAGGTTGTGAATAATTCGGCCTACGTAGGGCCTGCCAAAGAAATGGGCTTGGGCCAAGATTTGCGGTATGGTCCAGCGATTGCAGCACAAAGAGGTAAGTATAAACCAAAAGTGACACATTCGAAAAGCGAGTTTAGCTACATCTGTAAGTTAAACCTCTGTTACGATCACAGCGAAATCAAAAAGATCTTCCAAGATCGC